CCAAACCGAAAGGTTTTTTTTTTTTATATTTATTTATTCATTTTTTATTAAATATTTTTATTTTTTACTTTACTTTTCGGGGCAATATTAGGGGTCTAAACAGCCCCCTGATATTTCCTTTTTAAAATAGAAAAAGAGATTGAGGACACAGAGTCCTCAATCTCCATTTCTGAAGCCCCTGTTATCAATGAACAGGAATCCTCTATACTGAGTGTTCCTGGTCATTGATAACATGAGGACATTGTGTGTTTACTATATCTACAATCATGAATGAACAGGAAGTGATGTAGGAGTTGATGTAGATCACTTCCCATTCATTCATAATTGATATAGTCACCATACCATGTCCTCAATTATGTACAAACACTCAGCAATCACTGACTGCTTGTACCGCTCTCCATCCTGACACGCTGTCACAGGAGGCTGAGCGAGCGGTGTGTGAGGAGAGCCCAGCCTCCTGTGACAGCGTGGCCTATCACACACCGCTCTGCGATAAGAGGCTGAGCGTTGTGGGAGGAGAGCCGCCGGCCGCTCACAGCACTCTCCTCCCCGCTGGGACACAGAGCAACACCCAGCAGGGAGGAAAGAAAGCAGGGATGCGCCGATGTATCGGCAGAAAAATGGCACTTTCGGCATTACGACAAAAGTGCCATTTTCGGCCGATATGTTTCGGCGGCCGATATATCGGTGCATCCCTACCAAGAACCACACCGAGCAGGAAAAGTGACCAGGAGCCGCTCCTTCGGGTGGTATCAGCAACAGCCGCTCACACTAAATGGACTTTCAAAGGCAGATAGAGGGACATCGCTGGAGGACCTAAACCCTAAGAAAAGCAGAAATGTACACAGAGGAGAGCTTCTACAGAACAAGTTACACCTTCTTCCCTATAATTAAACTTTATTCCTGGATAGAGTTTGGCTTTAAAAACTAAAAAAAAAAGTTAAGGGGGTGACATGTTCAGAGGACAAAGCGTTTGGACTGTGCGCCGTATCATACCCAGAGTGACGGAGCCGAGATAGACGGGCTCCATGAAATGTGACAGGACGGCACCCTGAAGGCCGAGTACATTCCAGCGTAGAATCTTATCGCTGCAAGACATGGTGCGAAGCCTCTCGCCGTGCTGAATGCCGTCCCAGGTGGGAACAATGTCGCTGGACTCTACCGGGATTGTGCCCTCGCCTGCGGGACAGAAAAATCATTAGTGGGTTCATTCAGTGTCTGGAGGATGCATCAAGCTTTATAACCCCGGACATTCTATGTCACATAGACTAGTGCTAAGACTTCTGCGATGAGTTCCTGAATCTGCACAGCTGCTTAGGTACATAAGGGGTTCCCACATTCCTTGCACTGACTTCCCTGGTCTAAAAACATCTACTGTGCCCATTATAACTGTCCACCAACATCCCTGTGCTGAGTTCCCGGGTCTGTACTCCTGCTGTGCCCATTATGAGGGGTTCCCACCATCCCTGAGCTGAGTTCCCGGGTCTGTACACCTGCTGTGCCCATTATGAAGGGCTCCCACCATTCCTGTGCTGAGTTCCCGGGTCTGTACACCTGCTGTGCCCATTATGAGGGGCTCCCACCATCCCTGAGCTGAGTTCCCGGGTCTGTACACCCGCTGTGCCCATTATGAGGGGCTCCCACCATCTAAGTGACCAGGAGCCGCTCCTTCGGGTGGTATCAGCAACAGCCGCTCACACTAAATGGACTTTCAAAGGCAGATAGAGGGACATCGCTGGAGGACCTAAACCCTAAGAAAAGCAGAAATGTACACAGAGGAGAGCTTCTACAGAACAAGTTACACCTTCTTCCCTATAATTAAACTTTATTCCTGGATAGAGTTTGGCTTTAAAAACTAAAAAAAAAAGTTAAGGGGGTGACATGTTCAGAGGACAAAGCGTTTGGACTGTGCGCCGTATCATACCCAGAGTGACGGAGCCGAGATAGACGGGCTCCATGAAATGTGACAGGACGGCACCCTGAAGGCCGAGTACATTCCAGCGTAGAATCTTATCGCTGCAAGACATGGTGCGAAGCCTCTCGCCGTGCTGAATGCCGTCCCAGGTGGGAACAATGTCGCTGGACTCTACCGGGATTGTGCCCTCGCCTGCGGGACAGAAAAATCATTAGTGGGTTCATTCAGTGTCTGGAGGATGCATCAAGCTTTATAACCCCGGACATTCTATGTCACATAGACTAGTGCTAAGACTTCTGCGATGAGTTCCTGAATCTGCACAGCTGCTTAGGTACATAAGGGGTTCCCACATTCCTTGCACTGACTTCCCTGGTCTAAAAACATCTACTGTGCCCATTATAACTGTCCACCAACATCCCTGTGCTGAGTTCCCGGGTCTGTACTCCTGCTGTGCCCATTATGAGGGGTTCCCACCATCCCTGAGCTGAGTTCCCGGGTCTGTACACCTGCTGTGCCCATTATGAAGGGCTCCCACCATTCCTGTGCTGAGTTCCCGGGTCTGTACACCTGCTGTGCCCATTATGAGGGGCTCCCACCATCCCTGAGCTGAGTTCCCGGGTCTGTACACCCGCTGTGCCCATTATGAGGGGCTCCCACCATCCCTGTGCTGAGTTCCCGGGTTTGTACACCTGCTGTGCCCATAATGGAAACTTCCACCATCCTGAGCCGAGAACTATGGCTGGGAAATCTCCCAGTCCCCAAGAATCTGGTGACGTTCCAGCCTAGCACCCCACTTGTACCTGAACACTTCCCAGGTAGTTCTGCAGTCACGATGGACTGTGTAAAGGAAACAATTACCGTTCTCCACTTTAGTGCGCAGCTTTCCCTGCTTGGGGTTCTCGAATAGAGGGTAGTGTTTCTTGTCTCCCTCCGGACATGGCTGGTCACTGCAGGACTTGTCAAAGAGTGCCCCATCCCCACAGGGAGCCGTACTGCAAGGAGGAAATCATGGAGGGAGAGGGATTAGAGACATTTACCAGAACAAAATAAAAACTCAGCTTCCATTAAACAAACTCCCCCAACATCCTGCTGCCTGAAGTGTAATCTGCTTATACTTTGCCTTCCCAGGGAGATGAATGCAGCCCTGTATCTATGAATACATCATTCCAAGTACCTGAAGGCTGCCTCTTGCAGACCCCCTGTACAGCACCGGCTGGAAGAGGCAAAACTGGGACCCATAAAGTGTGCTGCATGCAAATGTGTTGACAAAGAATAAGATGATAGGAGAGAGCAGAGTGAGAAGAGGGATGACTTCATCAGTCTGCCTCTGCTTTTTCACTGTCCAATCAGCAGCTTGGGGGTAAAGAGGACAGCACGGTGTTCCTAAGTGGATTCATTCCCTGTTATCTGGCAGGACTGTGCAAATCTTAGGACTGCACGAACGTGTATAGTGCAAATATAACCTAATATTATAGTTTATTTAAAACTGTATACAGCTGTTCCATGGCTTCTATGGGAGTAGAGCTTTGGACCCAACCAGGCAGAAGAACCACACAGGTTATGGTGAGAAGGAACCAAAAAAACCCATTGTGGTCAGCGCCCCAGTCACTTACCTGATGTAGAGGTGGAAGGTGATGCCGGGGCGGATACGCAATAGGTCTCCTTCAGATTCCTCAAATATGTTGCTTTCTGGGGTGTCGGGATTGTACTTCATCAGCTGGTCGTACAAAAACCTGCATATAGACAGAGCTGTGTGTGAGCCGAGGTGTACAGGGCCATAATAATCAGCATTCCTGGAGGGAGGATCGCCTGCTACAACCAGATCCTCCACTTCACTCTCCCAGTGCATGATGGGAGGAAGAGAAAAGCACAACCTGTTTTCTAAGGCACATCAGACCATCTTTTACAGGTGAAACTCGAATAATTAGAATATCGTACAAAAGTAATTGCAGTAAGTGCTGCAAAAGGGGCCCAAACCAAGTACTGAGTACATATGCATGCTTGTACTTTTCAGAGGTCCGATATTGTTCTATGTACAATCCTTGTTTTATTGATTGCATGTAATAATCTACTTTTTTGAGGTTGTGGATTTGGGGTTCTTGGGGTTTTCATGAGCTGTAAGCCATAATCATCACAATTATGACAAATCACGGCTTGAATTATCTTGCTTTGCATGTAATGAGTCTCTCTCATATATTAGTTTCACCTTTTAAGTTGCATTAGTGAAATAAATTAACTTTGCACGATATTCTAATTATTCGAGTTTCACCTGTA